AAAAGAAAAGAAAAGAAAAGAAAAGAAAAGAAAAGAAAAGAGAAAGAAGAAAGAAAAATCAGTAGAGGGGGCAGAAAAGTGTGGATAATTTTGCTTAGGACAAACTTAGAATGTGGTTTGTAAAGTGTCAAGCTTTTGACACCTTTTAATTAATGGATTCAGGAGCAGAACTAGAATAAAACTTGGAGAGCTCTCTATTGCCTGCTCTAGAGCAAGGACCAAGGGCCCACTAAATGGCATTTCTGGATGCATATGAAAATTCGAGGTACATAACACAGACTTGTCCTTCAGTTATTATGAGGCTTTAGTTCACAGCTTACTAAGTGTTCCACTAGATATGATTATAGGCTTGAGTTCCTGGTTTAGTGAGGGAGAGATGTGACCCTATTACCCAGTAGTTAGACTGCAGTGTGATAAATGCTTCTAACAGTATGTTGGTGCTGCCAGGAAAGGGTAGTCTTAGGCTGGGTAGATGAGGGAAAATATACTGGAAAAGAAGGCAGAGATGTGAAAGGACATGGTGTGTTTGGGAAGCAGAGCTGTTGGGGCATATGGAGAGCTGAGGCTTTTCTTCTGTCTGTGGAGGGCCCTGGGAGGGTGTTCGGGAAGAAGTGTGCCACTTATGGATCTGAGAAAGCCTGCTGTGGCAGTGGGGAGAGTGACTCAGAGAGGAGAATCTGGAAGCAGAGGTGAGGGGCCTGTTCATCTTTCATTTTTGAAGTTCAGTATATTATGTATGCAGTTCCTATTGAAACTCGTCTTAGAATTCTTCAGAATTCATTTGACTAAGGGACCTAATTGTACCTTTGTTCTGCAGTTCAGTTAACAAGGAGCTGAGGTCCTTTGTTCTTTAACCTGCTGTTCAGAGCAAAGGATCCAGATGTTTGGGCTTTAAGTAAAACCCACTACATAAATTTTATACCACTGATTCTCCATCTAATCACGAGCTAATTTTAGCATGTGAAGAGATATCATTTCCAGCTTATCCTAGAATGCCTGGTGATGAATGATATTGGCTTCTGCTTTTATCTTCTAGTTTGTCTTTTCCTTCAAAGATTAGTTGAAAAAATTTCCCACAGGAAGACTGTGACCACCTCTCACTGACTCCAGTTCAAACTTTTACCCAGAATATACTATGTATAAGTGTGTTCAGATTATGCTAATGTGCAATTTTTTCTGTGATTTTTGTAAATGTATTTTTGTTCTCTCTATATAGTAGACCAATACCTACCCTTCAGGGCTTTTGTGAAGCTAGAAATGCTGTATGGTGCTGAGCACAATGCCTGGCACAGAGCTGTTGTCTTTCCCTGGTGGGTTGTAAGCCCTTGAATAGCCGATGGGGTACGAGCAATAAAAGTCAAGATCTCTGAGGCAGCCTTTAAACAAATTCATTCTAGATGGAAATTCTATAGCGTAGAACATGCAGTTATCCTGAGACACAGGATGTCCAACTTAGAGCTTATTCTCCGATACTTAATTATTGTAGGGAACAGAAGCCCTTGTACCGCTGCCTGCTAGGGGACAGGTAACATGAGCATAAATATCTGTGTGAATCATGGCTGAATTTTCTTGCCACGAAACTTAACCGCTAGAAATCCTTACATTTTAAAATTGAATGCAAGGCAAAACAAATATTGAGTCAGAACAGCTTGTGTATTTTGCCTGAATCCAAGCAACCTTTATTTTAAAGCCACTTCTAGTTGGATATTACTTTAGTTTACCGAGTTCTTCTTTAGATAATTTATTTCACCTTTGCTTCCTTTAGTGCTTCAGACAACATCCCGAAAGCAGATGAGATCCGCACCCTGATCAAGGATGTGTGGGACACTCGCATAGCCAAACTCCGGGTGTCTGCTGACAGCTTCGTGAGGCAGCAGGAGGCACATGCGAAGGTAGGGGTACTGCTGGCTGCCTCTCTGGCGGCTGCCTCCCCTTGGGGCCCAGGAAAGCCCAGTGCTGCTGGGGGATTTCCTGCAGCATTCTGCCTGCTTAGGCTATCACAAGCAGGAATTACTGGCTGTGCTTTTAAAAATTATTGGTTTCTTATTTTTGTTCAGTAGATTTTACCTTTTCCTCAAACTCAGAAACTCCTCAACCAACCCAGTCTGTTTTCTCTTGTGTTTTAGCTGGATAATTTGACCTTGATGGAGATCAACACCAGTGGGGCATTCCTCACACAAGCTCTCAACCACATGTACAAACTCCGCACAAACCTGCAACCTTCTGAAAGCGTCCAGTCTCAGGACTTCTAGAGAATGACCTTTGATTTGTAAAGGCCTTGTGTCTGCTGGCAGGCGGCTTGCCGAGTGGTGTGTGAGTGCTCAGGACATGATAGAGGTACTCCTAGTTCTGGAATTCTAATTTGAATATAAGAAAAATGTGTAATGAAGCAAGGAATGGATTCATAACATTTTTGGAAAGCAACAGGTTGCACTTAGTTCTCAATATATTCTTTAATTCCACATCTATCTCTAGAAGCCAACTATTCCTTTATGGAGGAAAGAAAAGGCTTTGGCAAGCAAGATGTTCTCCCTAGCAGAGTCTCAGGTCTCCTGCACAGAACTGTGATGTGGGGATGTGTTCGGTGATGTTACATGTTGCTTTGAAAAGCTAGACATACAAGTGGCGATGTGGCCCTAGGGCTTTTTAATTTTTTTGATATGGATCTCTTGGGTTAAACTTAGAATCTAGAGGTTGCTCACACAGAGTAAGGATGGCAGATGAGTGGCTTGTGATGCTGACTGGTGTTGATCATCTAAGTTCTGATACATAATAAAGATGGAATCAATCCAATCAGTTGGGTTTATTTTTTCCTGCTTTACTACTAAGCAGAAGCAGCAAGCCATGTGGCTAAAATGATCTGAGAGACCAAACTGAGGTATGTAGAGGCTGTAAATTTCAAACACTCTGGTTGTCTCTTGTTCTCTTTGCTACTTCTGGTTAAGGTTTAAAGGATTGCTTTTGCTTATCAAGGGCAAAGTCAGGGAACAACTAATTCCATGTTATTGAGTGCTGGAGTGAAGCTGAAGACAATGAAAAACCGAACCTATAACACTGCTCTTGATGCATTTTAGGAAAAGACTGTCATAGGTGACAGTGGCTCAAATAAGGGTTAAATTCTTTTGTTCTGTAAGAAAATAATTTCAGTTACAGCATTTGGGAATTGCTAAATTCCTCATAGAAATTATATTACCTTGAAAGGGGAAAAAAAGATTGTCTAGAGCAGTGATTTTCAACCTTTTTCATTTCATGGCACACATAAACTAATTACTAAATTCTACAGCACACCAAAAAATATTTTTTTTGCCAATCTGACAAAAGTATAATTTTGATACATTCACACTGGACAGCTATTGTGTTGGCTGTTGTCATTTTTGTTTGACAATGTAAGGGAAAACGATAGTGCCCCTGACTAAATAGCCAGGTATTGCACGTTTAAGCAATCTTTGCAGCACACTAGTTGAAAATCGCTGGTCTAGTCATACGACGAGTGGCAGTTTCTGTAGCCAGCTGGTTTTTGACTAACATTGTTGGTCAAAAGTGGTAGCATGGTATCTTAAAGGCTTTTTGAAGTGTACATGCATAATCTACTGAGCCTGGAGAAGATCTGGTATTTGCCCTTCAGTGTTCAAAGTCCAAACTTACTTCAAGTTACTCAAGCACTATCTCTCCATTCCAAATTGTTACCCATCTAGATGTCCCTCCAACAAGCAGCTGATGGTTGGTTGAACACTGAAGGGCCAGACACAGAGGGATTAGGACACAGAAGACCTTGGCTCTGCCAATTAAGGTGACTGTTTAGAAGGTTGCTTTCATATGACAGGACTTGCCTTTTCTCCCTTTTACGTAGAGTCCTTCAGATTTAGTCAGTCGGGGGAATGAATCTTCTTGAATGAAACCATGTTATTGTGGAGGTTCAGGAATCCTGTGTATCTCAGATCACCCCTTAATACCTTTCTCTTAAAAACTGACTGAGGTACAGTTGAATCTGTCTTCATATTTTACTTAAAAGCCGTATCGTTGTTGAGTGTGTGTGTTTTAAATTTGGCCTTGTTTTATTGTAACATAAAAAAGATTTTTCACTTAACATGATTTAGGAAGATTTTATTTTTTTGGATGTTGTCAGAAATTACAGCAATATATTCATAAATACCTAATTACTACATTCAACAAATAATATTACAATACAATTAATTCAAACAAGTACACTTAGAACAGGTTTAATTTCACAGCATCTAAACTGCCCCCAGAGTGACCGAGGCACTGTTCCTCCTCCCTCCCATGTACTGGTTTTACTGTTCTAGCAATTAAGCACAGGGTACATACAAAGTAACACAACCAATTAGCATGGTCTTCCTCAGGTCAAGCAGAGTTAAGGAGTTTAAGTTAAGTGCTGGATCAAAAGTTGGGGACAGGCTACTGCAAGTAGTAAGAAAGTCAATAGCTTGGTTACTTGAAAGAGTATAGGGATTGCTGCTAAGTGGCTAATATACACTTATTTAAGAGTAACAGAATCGGCTTGTGCTGACCATCTCCATCTTGTGGTGGATCCTTGGAATTTTCTACACTTTAAAATAAATACATGGCTCAGAGGGAAGGGAGGATCTTGACTTAGTATTTGAGATTTGGCAGCGTTTAGAGAATATGGTTCCATGTACAAATTAAAGATTTCCTGTGTTGTAATTCTTCACTGCTGAAGTGTGGGCTCCTTTGAATATTCTTTGAATTTTCTTAAGGCTATGATCTATTAGAATGTTAATGCCAATTTAGTGTTTTATTTCCTTTAGAATATATAGACTAAACTGTTCAAAATCCTATCTTGGTCGTTTATCTTAGACAATTGATTATATCACGAAATTCTTTTCATGTCAGTTTGGCTCTGATTATATGAAATAGAAAACCAAGTTTTGAGGAAAGCTCTGGTTTGTTTCTAAGTATCTGATTAAATATGGAGCCACAGGATTCAGCTTTGGAAGGTGTCCCTGACAAGTTTAGTGAAATCCCCTTCAGAGGACAGATGGCAGCCGTCTCCTCCTGGTGCTGTAGGAGGCACATGAGGTTGTGAAGGACTGAGCTCTTCACGAAAATACTGACACAGAGGTTGCAAAATCAATTCTAGAGCAAATTTGGTGTACTTCTGAAATTTTTCTTTTAAACTCAACATGAAATAAGGTGAACAAAAAGCTTCAGAGAGCGCACATTTGTCCATTTTTAAGCCCAAACTGAAAAGAAACTTATGAGATGAAAATAAGTTTTTAGATTTTAAAACTAATTATTGGGTACTATGTCTTAGTGGTGCACTTGTTTTCAAAAGACACTTTCTTACCTTTTTCATAGTTTATTATGCTGCCTTTACTGGTTTATATTTATATTCTCTGATTGTCATATTACTTCTTGAGCCCAAGAATATTCAGAGATCTCCAGAGATGAGAGTTTGGTGTGGCAGAGTGACAGAGAAGCTCAAGTGCAGGGTATAAGTGGCATTTTCAATGGGAAGGAGAAAAAGCAGTTATTACTAGCTCAGTGACACATCTCCCACCCCTGGGGCGAGACCTCCCCTGGAATGGCGCATTCCCTTGTCCTGTGTGCCAGGACATCCTCCCCTAACAACTAAACAAACCCAACCAAGGGAGCTCCCCTCGGCTGGCAGAGGGATGGGGCTGTGCTTATCTTTCCCATCAAGTTACTAGATCTACATTTTTCTTTTACTTTAGCCAAGGCCGTTACCAAAGCTGATCAGCAAATGTACTCAGAAATTTTCTGTGATGAAGGACTGGGAGTGAAGTACTAAGATGTAGCTCTTAAGCTTTCAGACCAGAAACAGCAAGCAGATTTTAAATAGAGAAACTGAGTGATATTTTGCCCTGGTTGTTGGCAATAGAGCGCCCTCTGCACACCTGTCCCCACCTGTGGAACATGTTGCTCTCGGTGTCTGCAGGGGAGGCGGCCACAGAACAGCCCTTGGTTCTCATCAAATCATTTCTGTGGAGAGGAAGGCGCTTGTTGACTGCTGATAATACTGGCGGCACTTTTTGTCTGAGTTTGCTAATAACTGGAAGATTCTTGGCAGACATACAAAGCAAACTGTGTGGGAACAGATAAAGCGACACAATGCCATCTGCCAGCAAGCTGTTCTGCGCAGCTAAGGTCTGGGGCTGAGGGTGCGGCCACTGATCGGTGAGTAGCCTTCATGAAGGTCAGCCAGCCCTTCCCCTGGGTGAAGGGGTGTGATCACGCTCAGGCCTCCTCCCATTCCCGCCTCCCCTGGCAGACCAACCACACTGGCTGCTTTGGCCTCTGGTTCAAGCCCATTCAGGCAAGAGATACTTTCTTGATCTAGATTAAACCCTGCCTGAATGAGCAGTAACTGGGACAAGAAGGAAAATTTTCCCCATTGCTTTGTATTGATCTGCTTATCCCAGTTTCTAGCTGCTCCTGTGCTTGTCACAGTCAGTTCAAAAGGAGGAGAAGTTCAGCTCAGACATTGTTTATCCTACTTTTAGGCTTTTACAAAGCTTTGCATCTAAATAAAGCCTCTAACGCTTCTACTTTGCACCTGTTCTCAGACTGCTGTAAGACACCTTAGAATTCTATCATAGAAACTGCTCACTTCCTGAAAGGTTCTTGTACAAAAGCCCCATGTCTGTATGTGCACACATAGGTGCACACTCAGTATGCGTCTTGTTCACCATGGACTAGCCCCTCCTCACTAATAGCAACTAGGTATAACTGCTCTTTGCTGTCCAGAGCTGAGGGGAGGGGGCAGAGGAGGAGGTAAGAAGTAACACATGGCTTTCTACATTTTCTGGTGCAACTCAAAAATGAAGTGATCGCATAGGCGCCAGTGGTAAGCTCTTTTACTTTTCTTCTTCTTTAATTTTTAAAAACACTTCAATATTTAATGTCCTGACCAGCAGCAGTACAAACACTAAAAGCAAGTTTTTTTTTTTGCCCAGGAAAACAAAAAACAGAAACAAAAAAACAAAACCCCCAAACAGGAAAACAAACAAACAAACAAAAATCCCCCAAAACCACATATTAAAAATGGCAGGCTTTTTATAACAATAATTAAAGTAATAAAAACATACAAAACTTTGTTTTTTAATATATATACACAGTACAAGGCTGAAGCACCTTTGACTTTTCTCTCAAAATTTGTTTGTATGAAAACACCCCCCACTGCAGCAACAATTTGGTGGGTGTGAATATATGTATACATAGAGCTCTGTACATTTCCCCCACGGAGTAATAAAAAAGGTACCTTCAGTTTGTCGATTTGCTTTACCTTTAGGTAAGAGCTTTTCCAGGGAAAAGCACATGGGTGAGGCTTTAGTACTGTTACTTTGTGTGCTCCTAGGACCTGTTGCTTTGAAGAAAATTTTGCAGAAAAGCAACTGAAACAAATAAGCCCTTCACTTAAAATGCACCCCACCTTCATTCAGCTGAAGCAGGTCTCCATCCTGGGGGGAAGGAGACCGACCCCATGCTGCAGCAAAAGCAAACTTGGGTCCTTCAGGCATAGGAATATGGCAACACAAGAAATAGAACACAAGCGGTTTGATCCAATCTTATGCACCCAGGGGCTACAAATGATAAAGTTTTAGTGTTGGTAATGAAGCCTTCATTTTCAGATTTAAAAACGGTGACATGGGGAAAGAAAGAATAAAACCGCCTTTTAAAAAAATATATGGGCGTCGTCCTACATTGGTTGCTCGCTGAATTACAAAGGTGATTCAATTGCATTGAAGTCAAGGTGAGTTCGTTCTTTTTCTGGAGCCTGGAATCCTTTGCTTCATGCATGGCACATTTTTTTTTTTTTTTTTTTAAGCTTCAAACCTCCCAGTGAAAAATATTAAATATTCAAGGTAATAAAATAGATAATATTTCTATACTATAGGTTCGGCCTAGTGCAAGGGAAACCGTCACCTAGGATATCCCTTAAAGTAACCCCTAGGCCAATGCATTGCAGGCAACGCAAGGCACTTCCGTAAGTGATCCAGTTCCGCCTGGAGTCGCTCCCTTTCTGAGACAATCTTCTGTTTCTGGCTCCTCAATTCCTGCAGATAGAGAAATTCACATTAAACTGGTTTCACAGAACTGTATGTGATGCAGAAATGTGCTGGAGGCCACTTGGAAAAGCAAACCACAATATCCTCCTCCCAGTTCTGAGAGTGGGCTCTGGGGGCCGACTGAACTGGTTGTTCCAAAGTCTTAGATTCTCATACCTGCTCTCATGGAACCAGCATCCACTATTCTTTCAGCTTGACCTTGAGATTTTAAAAAGTAAGCCCTGATACTATAAAACCTTTGCTGCTTTAGGACTGGCTGAGATATGCAGACCTGATCTGCATAAGCCCCATACCCCTCACTGGGAGGAAGTCCTCGGGGTTTGTCACATGTCATAGTTGGAAGACCTGTTGAACCAGGCTGCAAAGGGGAAAGAGGTGATTTGTTTTCCTCAATAACTTGAGTCCTTCAGTAAAATCATCTTCCTTCAGGGGAGCTTGACAAAGGCAATAAATCCCCAAAAGGGGTATATATAAATAGCATCTTCATCCTTCCAGGATCAATATTCTGCAAATTAATTTAGCCAGGGTAATCAACTGACCCCTGAATTTGCTCCCTAAGTTTTAAACTCTTAAGAGCAGGATTTTCCCTCAAAACTTGTCTGTATGGGTGCTCTTGAACCCAAACTTTGAAAGTTAAACAAAAAAAGTGTGTTTTAAGAAAACCCCCTCTGGAGCTGATTTTCATTCCTTTTCCCGTGTGTGGCCTCCCAAGACTCACCGCCATGCTGTGGGAGAGCTGCTCTGCTGTGAGACTGAGGCTGTAGTGCTGGGCCTCCAGCCGTCTGCACTGTGTCTGTAACACCTGCCGCTCCAGATTTTGCTCTGAAAAGACAAGTGATGTTGATATATTTTCTGTCTACAAGGGTCACAGGCCTGGCGATTGTTTTCCCTCTCTAATGCAGCCAGCATAGTGCGCTCCTTTGGACCACAGTGCTTCCAGCTCTTTGTATCACGCCGGTAAATACATCAGTGTTACTAAATTAAATCCAGCCCAGTAGGACCAAAGACAAAGGATCAAGCAGCAAAAAGCAATTTAAAGGATACAGATTAAGAAGCAATTAAGGGTAAGTTTATGGCCTTAACGATAATTTTTCAAAAAGGAAAAAAAAATTTAGGAGTTAGCCTTGAAAGTTTTTAAGCTGATAGAAAACAGCCAGAATAAACTTAGTAAAATAAAATCTGTCTTTCCAGGCTTTAACAAGAGTGTAACTTCCAAGGGGTGCCACCTGAACAGTTGTGATAGCCAAATTAAGTACAATAAAATTAGCATCTAATACCACTTAAGAAAACAGATTTAAAATCTTAAATGTATTAAGTCAAATTCAGCAAGGAGGAAACATTAATATTCTCTTTCTGTTATTTCTTAGACAAATGAATTCTCGGCATAAGAGAAGCAGAACGTGAAGACTTTTAGAAAGAAATGCAGGGTATTAGGTCCTTGGGGAAAGGGAAGGAAGTCCCAAACATCAACCCAGAAACGGTGGATAAATTTCACTCCATTGAAATAAATAACAATGCTATATATTGCTCTGGATTCACATACATGTATTTACTTAAAAGATAACATGTAAGAAGTGATGGATAAATTCAAAGGATTCCATTTGAAGGAGGGGAGGAAAGGAAGTGAACCATAGGAATTGTTGTGGCTACATGGGCATCCCTTTATTAGTCTGTCTCTGATTTTCATTGTATTTGAAATGGTTATGATATTCATAATCAAGTGCTCATGTTTAATAATTACAACATAGTAATACTTGGTAATACTTGATAAAACTCTTCTATAGCACAGTAATGAATTAGGAGGCGGCAGCCTGGGTTTTGCTAGTTGTGGCTGGCGCTTCCCAACTTATGTCAAACTGACAGCGCTGCCAATGCAGTGAGGGCAGAGGGGCCAGGGCTCCCCATGTCAGCGGGACCGAGACCAGAGGCTCAGCACGCGCCAGTGCTGGGCTCGTTACTCCCAGTAGCCCCCTGCCTGTCTCACTATGGAGGGAAAGGCTGGGTTCCCTACTTCTCCCTGCATCAAGTTCACAGCACCCCAGTCTCCATCGAAGCTAGAAGCGCAGTGACAGTGCCAGAACTCCACCGGGGTGCAAGCCTGTGACCCCACCACTTGGTGCACTAGACCGGGGGAGGGAGAGGGGGAGGGGGTGGGGCTCGAGTCCCCGCAGGATGTGTGTCACCAGGCAGAGGCAGAGTATGCACTCAAAGTTGAGAATAAAGCATTCTGGAGGCTGATGGGCTTGCCTCCCTGCACAAAGTGCTGGTCCAGGAGGATGACAGAGCATGAGAGGGAAACTGCCACCAGCATTGAGATGCTTCAAATGCGAGGCAGGCTCAGACGATCAGGCCTGGCTATTTGGAGCTCAGCTAAATTAATAAACTTCATTTTCTAGAACCCTTGCATGTAGCTGTGAGTGTCAGGCTGTCACACTGAGTGGTGGTAAGTACCTGGTACTTCAGTTTCTCCAGTGAGAATGGTCTCAACTTTGTCCACGAGGAATTGCCACTAATAAGTAAGCCTAGGCACCTACAGAAGCCTGAGGACCAGTTTTTGAAATGGGCAAAACAGCAGAGGAGAATTTACCTTGTAGTATTAGTACCTAGTTGTGCCCCAGAAAATCTGCCAGTGCTGTCACTTAGAAACTGTCCCCAATGCTGGCAGTGAAATCCTGCACTGATTGGTCTATTAAACTTTCACTTTCTCTACTGGGCTCTCATCCTGCTCCCCCCTCCCCTTCGTACCTTCTATATGTTCCTGGTAAGCTTCAAAAATTGCCTCAATCCCTTGCCACTTGCGCCTGGGGGGTTCGTCGTCGTCCTCTTCTCCGTCTGCCTCCTCCTCCGAGTCCTGGTCCGTCTCCTGTGGGAGGGGGCCCTTCCTCACGGCCAGAGGCTCCTGCTGCCCATTGTGCTGGGGCAGAGGGAGCCGGCTTGAGGACTGCAGCTCAGGAATGTTGTAGTGGATGGACGTGTCAACTTTGTGGTTCTGCTCTGCAGATAGCACAGCTACATTCCCTGGGGAGGAGAAACGGCGGGAATGAAATGTAGCAAACCCTGTTATCTGACCATCAGCGACTCCCACTGAAATGTTGGAGAGGAGTGAACCTGGGAGCTCACACGTGGGCCTAGCACAGCCTTTAGGTCACAAAGTGCTCACCAGGCCCACCAAGTCTAGGGAGATTTCCAGGCAAGTCTGTGTGGGGGCACTGGGAAAAGCCTCAGCTGTAGGACACAGGGATCCTATTTTTGCAAGAAAGGTACCTCGCCTGGCCTTACTAAAAGAAGTGCCTCAATTAAACTCAGATGGCATCACATGTTAAATTTCCTCCGAGTATGGTCTATAGACCACCAGCAGCAGCATCACTCGAGTACCTGCTAGAAATGGAGACTCTTGGGCCCCACCCCAGATCTGCTTAGGCAAAATCTACTTCTAATGACCTCCCCAAGTGCCTTGTGCACACTGAAGTTCCAGAGTTGCGATCCCATGGCTGCTGAGTGACTGCCGGTGCCTGTGAACATTAGCCAGAGCTACAGTAACGAGCAGAGCGGAGACAGCCTCCTTACCTTTGTGCTTCTGGAGGGCCTTCTGGGTGGACTGCAGCACGGACTCGTGGAACTGATGTGCAAACTCTTCTGCCATGAAGGGCTCCCATGGCTTGCTCTTCCCATTGATGCTGTGGGACAGTGGCACGGGAATGTCCTTGGGCGTGGGGCCCCTGATGTAATGCAGCATGCTCAGGCTCTTCTTGCCCCCAGGGGCCTCATTCAGCTTGGCCTTCTCACCACTGGCAGCAGCTGGCTCTTGGACTCGTGACAGCTCCTGTGGCCGGAGCTGTTCCAGTCTCCCAGGCTCCATGGCCTTTGGGACGTCAGACAGGGAAGCAGCAATACCCACAGGCTTTTCCATATCCAGAGAGGCTGGCTGCGTGGCTGGTTCTTTTAGAGACAGAAAGCGAGGAACATATTTAAGAGCTGCAAGAGACCAGGTGGGCCCTGACCTCTACAACTTACATTTAACAAAGACCTAGTACAAAAGACAAGACTCAGGAGTCCGCTTAATTTCAGTGAGCCTTGTGTTGGCCTGAAGACGGGGTGTGGTGGCAGCAAGTCCATCCTTAGAAGGTGCCCCAGGAAGGCATCTGGGAAGAAAAAGAATCTGAAGGAAGAAGCAAGTTGCTCTAGGTCATCCAAAAGGTAGGAAGTAGTGTAGCCTAACCCGACAAGAAAGACTGTTAGGAGTCAAGAACAGGGCTGGGTAATAAAGATCTCCTGCTCCATCTAGCAGCACAGCGATGTATCATCAAAGCCACAGGAGAGAGAGAGGAGGTGTGAAAGCAGATGCTGGAGAGGCCTAGAAGGAAGAATGAGACAGACACAGGGGTGCCAAGGAAGGGCAGGCAGGAGCCGCAGAGATGATGCGGTGGTGCCGAGACCTGGGATACAGGGCTTCGGTGGCTTGGGACACCACTGGACTGATGGACGATGGCTACGACTACACTGACTGCCAGAGTTCTGTGGAAGCTGGGACCCTCCCCCTTCACTCTGAGCCCCGAGTTCCAAATTTCATGTTCTGGCCCAAGGAGATCCTTCAGAATCACAGAGGAAGCTTGTATGAGAGAGAGAAAGAAGCGCATCCTGTCTCCAGGAGGAAAGATTCATGATGAAGACCTTGAGCAGTCACTTCTGACCCTGGGCAGCCCCCCAGGACAGTCCTGGGCAGTGGCAGATGGTTCTTCCCGCCCTGGGCCTTACCGCTCAGGGAAACAGCAGGACTGTCCCTCGGAGAGTTTCTGAGTGAGTCTGCCACTGCTGCTGACAGTGCCTTCTGCTTCATGGCATGGAGCATTTCAACAAGTTTCTCTTTGTCTATGAGAAAAGCAGCCTGAGATTAACAAGATAGTTGCATCATTTGAGAGGGAAGGGGAGCAGGATTCTAGCCCAGGCTGTGACTGGCAGGTACGAGTCCTTTAAACCAAGAAAAACACAAAGCAGGCACCACAGGGAAAGGTGGTGTTTAAAGGAGGAAGAACTTTCATGTTAGAGTGAGCCGAGATTCCTCTCAACTTTTGCTACGTAACATTTCAGATGTGTTCCAAAAATAGCTGTGTATGTATATGGTGATGACAGCTATACGAAATAATGGGTAGCTATGATCTTCCAAGGTGACTTCTGAGGATGCATTCTTATTTAAAAGACAAAAATATTGGCCCCAACACAAGGAAACAACCTGAAGATCACGCAGCACCTCTGGAAGCACAGGCTGCTTCCCGGTGCATTCTCTTCTCTCCACTCCTCCTGGCACATGAGCGCAATTCCTGTGATGGTTGCCATTTACTGAAAAGGAAGAGACTTCTGTGTTCGATGCCATGAGTTCCTGTTGCAGTGGCACTTTTTGCCGAGACCTAAATGGCCATATTACCGGTGGCTACCTCTAGGAATTAGGTGAAAAGACACTTTTTATGAACAGAACTATGCATGTTCCCAGGGATTTGTGCTGGTTATCAACATATCACTGGCTCTTCTAGGTGAAAGCAAGAGTTCCAACCTACTGGTTAAAGTAAAATGCTACACCCGAATAATGAAGCAACTACATGACCAACACACACTTTTCCCTTTTTGACTTCCTTCCAGAGGTGACCAGGTGTCAGCAACGGGGACTTGGAGGTGTGCAAATGAGCACCCTAGACATGCCAAGTTCTCACATCAACCAATATCCTGGCACTAAGCGAGTGTGACGGGCAGACCAAGGAAGTGGACATCCCCAGAAAGTGTTCAGACCACATCATGTCTTCAGTGCTATGTATTCCAGCCCCAAGAGTCAGCCCCAACACGGCTGATCTGGAAGTACCTTTCAGGGCAAGCCACCCACTCACAATGTGTGTCGGCTCTGCCTGTTGGCCACAGACCACCTAAGCTGCCTGCCATCAGAACACAAAGCCCAGTGGACCATATCAGCGGCCCAGCAAGAGGAAACACCCCTACCATGGAGCCTGGAGTGCTCTGCCACAGGTGGTACACCTGTGCCTCGTGCCCAGGAGGGTCGCTAAACCTGCCTTCTCAAGTGACAAGTGTAAAGAGCAGCTTTACATACAGAACAAACACTAGCAAGTCTTCTTTTCCATCCCCGATGAAATGAGAAAACAGGCTTCAAGTGGGACAATTGGATTTTCAGATAGAAGGCAGCAGAGATACGGGGGCAAGTCTGTGAAAGCAGAGGCACTGCTGCTTTCTTGAGGAGCCAAAAGGAATTAAGAGAGCCCCAGGGCCAAAGTGTTTTCAGATTCCACCTGGAACTTGAGTCCCTGATATCCCCAGGAGTCTATGAACCCCACCTGCTTCTTCAGAAGCTTCTAGTGAGCCTCACCCCCAAAAGGCCCAGGTGAGGCCTACCTTTCCTCTTCTCGGCACTGATGTGGGTCAGGTTGAAGATGGTCAGGAACTTCCTTTTCTCTTCGAAGTTGGGGCTGTTGTTCATCTCATCAGGACTATAGCGGGTGAACAGTGCCAGTCTCGGTGAAG